AACAAAACAAAGAGAAAAGAGTTGCGTACTGGGGGACGGTGGGGGAAGGGGGGTGCTGGGGAGTCCGCGGGTTTGGGGGCTGAGGTCAGGGGGTCTTTGGGGGATGGGGGGCTCAATGGGGCAGGAGGATACTGATGACCATGAGGAATTACTGGGGGCCTGGGGGAGTGTCACTGGGGAGCTGGAAGGGGCTCACTGGAGTTGTTAAGTGTTGAGGAGACAGTGGGATACTGGGGGGATCGTTTGGGGGGCTGTGGAGGGTTACTGGGGGTACTGGGGAGTAAAGGGGGCTATGGGGCTGGGCAGGGGTTCATAAGGGTCTTTGGGAGGCTGAGGGGGTCATTGGGGTGGTGAGGGGTGTACTGGGGACTATAGGGCGTCTTCAGGGTGCTGTGGGTGCTGCAGGGCGGGCAGCCCCCCTTAAGAGTTTTTGGGGGGCTGGGAGTTGGTCAAGTGGAGTCATTGAGATCCTGGGAGTTCGCTGGGTGCTGCGTGGTGGTAAATAAGTTTATTGGGGTGATGGGAAGGCTCAGTGAATTCACTGGATGGTGCCATACTGGGGACCATAGGAGGTTTTTGGGGTGCTCGGGGGTAGGTGGGGGTTCAAAAGGGTGAGTGGGGTTCACTGGGGTGCTAGGAGGGTACAGGGGACCATAGAGGGTCTTTGGGGACTGGAGGGAGCAGTGGATTAATTAGGGGGCTGAGGAGATCAGTGAATTGCTTGGGGGTGGCCTCAGTACAGCACAGAGGTCCTGGGGACCATGGAGGGTTATTGGGGTGCTGGGGAGGTTAAAGGGGAGGTACTGGGGACCACAGGGGGTCTTTGGGGTGCTGGGGGGACAGGCAGGTGAGCATTGAGGTGCTAGGGGTGTCAATGGGGTCACTGGGGTTTTGGGGGGATCACTGGAGTGGGGGCTGGCTGCAGGGGGGCTGCCCAGAACCCCCCTCCCAGCACAGCGTGTCGGGGTCAGAGGGACCCTGGGGTGGGCGCTCTGGGGTGACCGAGGTGCCTCCCCCTCCTCCCCCACCCCCCTGTTCCCCCCCTTCACCGGGATGCTGGGGAGGGCAGCAGGGCCCCCCGCTCAGCCCAGGGGATCCCACAGCAGTGTCACCCCATCCCCAAGCCATCCCACCTCAGCAAGGGGTCCCATCCTGGGGACACCCCTTGGAGTCCCCCCAAACCGGGTGAAGGTTGCACAGGCACAAGGGAAACACGTTTATTGTGGCCAAGGCATCAGTGGGCATTGCCCAGTGCGGGGGGGGAGCGTCCAGGGTGGGGGCATGGGACACTCAGGCAGGGCTGGCATGGGGACGTGGGGGGGGCACCGCCTTTTTGGGGTGTCAGAGCCCCCGGGTCCCACCCCCTGTCGGGGAGGGGGCTCTGTTTGCAGCTGTGGGTTGCAGGGGGTGTCATAATTGTGTTGGGGTTCCCCAAGGGGTGACACACCCCCGGTGTCCCCCTGGGGGTGGCACATGCTCCCCGGGGGACTCATGCTTGGCCATGCACATGCCAAGGGGGGTGGGGGAATGGGGGGGCCGCGGGACGGGGGGCTCTGCCTGGTGCTGCCGTTCCTGGGGGCTCACGGTTGCCACTGTCACTGTCCCTCAGTCCTCCAGTGCCTGGTGGGGCTGATGCCCTGCAATTGGTGGCCATGGTGTTCTCACAGAGACTTGTCCCTGTAGTCCTGTGGTGACCTCGGCAGGGGCCAGCAGCGATGCTCAGTCCTGAGGGGCAATGGTAGGACCCCCAAAAACGAGGGACACAGTGGTGGGAGTCTGATCATCCCTCCTGCCCAGGGAAGGTCACAGCAGAAGATTGTCCCCATGGTGTGTCCCCTCACACTCTTGTCCACTGCAGTCCCCTGGTGACCTTGGCAGGGGCCAAGATGATGCTCAGTCCTGAGGGGTGATGGTGGGATCCCCAAAAGCTGGGCATGCGGTGATGGGGGTCCAGCCACCCCTCCTGTCTGGGGACAGCTCGCAGTGGGGACACAGGATGTCCCTGGGGACTCCCCATGGTGTGTTCCCTCACACCCTTGTCTCTCGCAGTCCCTCAGCGATCTCGGCAGGGGCCAGGGATGATGCTCAGTCCTGGGGGGCGATGGTGGGACCCCCAAAAGCTGGGACATGGTGGTAGGGGTCCCATGGTGTGTCCTTGCACATCCTTGTCCCTTGCAGTTGCGCAGTGACCTCGGTGGGGGCCAGCAGTGATGCTCCATCCTGGGGGACAATGGCGTTGCCCCCAAGTTGGGGACAGGACAGTAGGGGTCCAGCCACCCCTTCTGCCCATGGCATGTCCGTGGGGAACAAGTCACAGCAGCAGTAGCAATACAGGGTGGACTGTCCCCATGGTGTGTCCCCTCACACCGTTGTCCATCACGGTCCCTCTGTGATCTCAGTGGGGGTGTGGGACAATGCTCAGTCCTGGGGGTTGATGACGGGACCCCCAAAAGCTGAGGCCATGGTGGTGGGGGTCCAGCCACCTCTCCTGCCCAGGGACAGGTCTCGGTGGGAGACTGTCCCCATAGTGTGTGTCACTTCTTTGTCCCTCACTGTCCCATGGTGTCAGTGACCTTGGTGGGGGCCAGCAGTGACGCTCAGTCCTGGGGTGTGATGGTGTGACCCCCCAAGCTGGGGACACAGAAGTGGGGGTCTGGCCACCCCTCCTGCACAGGGACAGCTTGCAGTGGCTGACACGGGGCGTCCCTGGGGACTGTCCCCACAGTGTCCCCTCACACCACGATGGGCGTGTCGGAAAAGACGGAACTCACCGAATCTGGATCCGACACCTTCCTCTGCACCTTGGGACCCTGCCGGGTGGGCAGCGGAGGGGTCCCCCCACCCTTGAACCTGCCATTCTGCCCTGTGCCAGCACTGGAGGCCATGTGGGATCCGCAGGGCTCCCCGGTGCCCCCGGCGTGGTTGGGGGTGGTGCTCAGCACGGAGGAGTTGATGCTGTCATCGCGTGGTGCCGGCGGCTTCTCGGTGCCACGGCAGCAGCAGCAGCGGCACGGAGTGAGGTACAGGTAGATGAGCACCAGCACCACACTCAGGATGCAGCCCACCAGGGTGGTGTAGGCCGTGTTCAGGGTGTCGTGGGGGCCGTGCAGGGTGAAGTTGTGCACCAGCAGCTCCACGTAGAGGGTCTCGTTGAGGAGGGGTCCGGCCACCCAGCAGGAGTAAGTGCCGGCATCCTCAGGGCGCAGCGCCCGCAGCTGAAGGCTGCCGTTGGCCAGCAGGACCACGCTGCCATTGCCCCCTTCCCCCAGCACCCGCTCCCCGCCCGGTGTCACCCAGTGCCGGCTGCGCACGCCCTGCCACCGGCTGTCACAGCCCAGCGTCACGCTGTCCCCGAGGTGCGCCTCCAGCACCGCCTCCCGTGCCTTGCTGCAGTTGAGAGGCTGCTTGCCTGCCAGGTCCAGGATCTTGACGAGAGTGGTCGCTCCGGGCAGGAAGCAGCGCAGCTCCTCCTGGAAATCCTCCACGGCGCTGAGGTGGCGGCGGCGGCCGCGGTCCAGCAGCTGGAAGAGCAGGCAGTCGCAGGCCAGGGGGTTGTTGTGCAGGTAGAGGCGGTCGCGCAGCCAGGCAGGCAGCGCCTGCAGCTCGCCCGCGGGCACGGCCCGCAGCCGGTTGGCCGACAGGTCCAGCAGCGCCAGCTGCGGCAGCCGGGAGCCCTCCCGGAGCAGCTCCAGCGGGAAGCGGGCGATGCGGTTCTGTCCCAGGTAGAGCTTGCGCAGCCGGCCCAGGTTCTCGAAGGCCGTGCGATCCACCGTGCTGATCTCGTTGTTGTAGAGCAGCAGCACCTCCAGCTCGCCCAGGTCGCTGAACAGGTTCTCGTCCAGCGTCCGCAGGCGATTAGAGGACAGGTCGAGGTGGCGCAGGCGGGGCACGTGGGTGAAGGCCTCGGTGGACACGAAGGCCAGCCCGTTGTGGCTCAGCAGCAGCGCGTGCAGGTGTGGCAGCCGCGCCGGTGCCCAGTCTGCGCGCAGCCGTGTCACGTTGTTGTGACTCAAGTCCAGCACGGCGGTGAAGCGCGGCAGCGGCACCGGCACCGTGCTCAGGTTGGCCTGCGAGCAGCTCAGCAGGTTGGAGGCGCAGACGCAGCGCGGGGGGCAGCTCCCTCCTACAGACCCCCATGGGGACAGCAGGGACAGCGCCAGCAGCAGGGACAGCGGCTCCATGGGGACACGCATGGCCACACACGGGTGACAGGAAGGTGGCATGATGGGGATAGCAGCGTGGAGAGTGGGAGGAGGCTTCAGTCACATGGTGTCACGATGTGGAGTGGCTTGGTCACCCAGTGTCACAACACAGGGTGGCTTCAGTCACAGTGTCACGGCAGGTACAGGGCTCAGGGCTCACGCAGAGCTACAGTCCAGGGTGGCTTTCAGTCACACAGTGTCATGGCAGGCACCAGGCTGAGGGTTCACCAGGTCATGGTGCAAAGTGGCTTGGTCACTTGGTATCACAGTCCGAGGTGGCTTTGGTCACTCAGTGGCAGGTGCCAAGCTGGTTGATCACTTGTTATCACAGTCCAGGGTGGCTTTGGTCCGCCAGTGTCACAGCATGTGCCAGGCTCAGGGCTCACACAGTGTCGACAGTCCAGGATGGCTTCAGTCACGTGGTGTCACGGCTCACCCAGAGTCACAGCACATGCCAGGCGCAGGGTCCACTGTGTCACAGCACACGCCGATCTGGCTGCTCACCTGCTTGGTGTCACAGTGTTGAGGGGGGCTGTCACCAAGTGCCGTGCTGTGCACCAGTGTCATTGCCTGCTGTAGCTGTGATCTCCCGGTATCACGACATGGAATGGCTCTCAGTGGTCCCTCAGTGTCACTGCGTGGCGGGGGTTCGGTTCCCTGGTGTCACAGGGCACCCAGGTCACGGTGCGGGGTGGCTCTGTCTCCGCTGTCACGACATGTCCCCACTGTCACGGCTCGCCCGGGGCACCTCAGGCCCGGGGCTCCTGCCCGCTCCCCCGGCCAGGATCCCCCGCCCGCCCGGTCCGGGCCGTGCTGCGGGCAGAGCGGCGGAGGATGCTCGCTCCCTCCCTCCCCTCCTCCTCCCCGGGCGTTGCCGGGGCTGGGCTCGGGCCTGGTCCGGGAATGGGGTCGGAGCGTTACCGGGCCCGGTGCGGCGGCGACCGGGCAGGGTCGGGCCCAGACGAACCGAACCGAACAGAGTCAAGCGGAGCCGAACCGAAAGAATCCCAGCGAAGCCGAACTGAGACGAGCTGAGCCGAGCGAGGCCGAAGAAAACCGAGCGGGCCGCGCCGAACCAAGCCGGGCCGAACCGGGCCGCGCCGAACGTCCCCGATCCGCCCCGACCTCAGCCGAGCAAAGCCGAGTCGGACCCGAACGTAGCCGAACCTTCCCGATCCTCCCCGAGCTGATCCGAGCGGAGCCGAGCCCGGTCCGAGCGGAGCCGAACGGTTCCGACCCGGCCCGAACGCAGCCGAACCGCCCCGATCCGCCCCGGGACGGGGTCTGGGGCAGGCCCGGTGCTCACGGCCCGTCCCCATTGGCTGCGGCCGCTCCGAGCTCCGCCAATGGCGGCAGCGCGCGGCTTAACCCGCCGAGCGCCGCCGGGCACGGCACCGGCACCGGGCACGGCACCGGCACCGGGCACGGCACCGGCACCGGGCACGGCACCGGGCACGGCACCGGCACCGGCACCGGCACCGGGCACGGCACCGGCACCGGCACCGGGCACGGCACCGGCATTGTGTCCGACCCCATCCCCGTGTCCGACCCCAGCTCCTGCCGCAGCCCCGTCCCTGTACCGGTCCAGTGCTCATTTCCCTCCCCAGCCCCAAGCCTATGTCCGGCCCCGTCCTCGTCCCTGTCCTTGCCCGTCCCCATCCCTACTCCCCACTCCCCTTCCTCATCCCTGTTCCTGTCCTGATCCCATCCTTATCCTCATTTCCCTCTCCCTCCCCATCCTCATGCTACTCTTTATTCCCATCCCTATCCCTGTCCCCGGTATCTCTATCCTCACCCCTATCCCTGTCCCCTTCTCCATCATCCCAGTGCCATCCCCGTCCCTATCCCCCATCTCTATTCTCTCCCCTATCCCCATCCTCATTCCCATCTCTAACCTCTATTCCCATCATCCCCCTTCCATCTCTGTCCTCATCCTCATCCCCATCTCCCAATCCCATCCTCTCCCCATCCTCATTCTCACCCCTGTCCTCTGTCCCCATCCCCATCATCCCCATCCTCATCCCCATCCCTGTTCTCATACCCATCATTTCTATTCCATCCCTATGCCCATCCTCATCCCTATTCCTGTCTCCTTCCCCAGCCCCTCCATCTCATCTCACCCCATCCTCATCCCCGTGCTATCCCCATCTCCATCCCCATGCCATCCCATGTCAGCCTCAGCTCCACCTGCACTCCCAGCCCCGTCCCACTGCCATCCCCACTCCTGACGGCACAGCCCCACACTCCCCATTCCACCCTGAAATCCTGACCCCATCCCACAGCCCCACCGCCTACCCCTTGGACAGAGGGGACTCCTGTGCCCCGGGGCCCCCCGAGGGACACCCCTGGCTGTCACAGCCCCAGCCGCACCCCCCACTAGTGGCTCTGCGTTCCGGCAGTATTTTTAGATCCAAACATTCGTGCCGGATTTTGGGTCCAAAATTAGAGGGAAAAGAGCTGGAACAAACCATGCTGGGATGATGCAGCTTTTTATTGCGAAGGGGGGCAGGGATTAAAAGGAACCCCTGGAACACAGAACAGGATGTCCTCAGGGTGCCCCTCATCCTGTTGCCTTCACCCTAACTTCCCCCCCGGTTGGATGTCCCCCTTAATCAGACAGGGAATTTTGTCCTTGGATCGTCCTTATTTTCCCAGTTTTAATCCAGGAGTTAATCCCTGCCCAAAACCCACTGCCCAGCACCCCTCCCAACAGCCTGCCCCACCCACACCCTGACATCTCCAGCCCAGCGTTGGGCTTTGAGTGTCCTTGGGGGGCGCTGAGTGTCCCAGGGGACAGCAGGATTGGTCCCGGGTGCATGTGATACATGGGAGCACACGTGTGTCAGCACACACACACACGTGTGCACAGCCCAGGGCCGTGTGTGTGCCCCTCACACGTGTGTGCACACACAGATGTATCTGCCAGATGTGTGTGACCCCCCCAGGCAGCCACACACGGCACAAGAGTGTACCCAGGTGTGCAAACACACCCACACCCACACACCTGTGAACGTGCTTAACCTGCGGGTCTGGCAGGGGCTTTGCAGGTGTGACAGGGACAAGGGTGCTGAGGTGCCAAGGGTAGAGTACTGGGACTCGTATCCCGGGGTGTTGGGGTGCTGAGGTGTCTTGGTGCTGGGGTTTCATGACATTGTGTGCTGGCGTGCCAAGGTACTGAAGGATTTGGCTGCTGAGGTATTGGGGTGCTGGAGGATGAGTATCTCAGAGTACTGGGTGCCAGGGGCTGGGGTGCAGGGGTGCCAGAGGATGAATAGCCTGGGGTATTGGGGTGCTGGGGTGCCAGAATATGGAGGTACTTGGGGGGCCAGAGTACTGGACTACTGGGGTGCCAGGACACTGAGATACTGGGGTACCAGTGTCCTGGGGCACTGGGGTGTTTGATTGCTGGGATGTCAGGGTCCTGGGATAATGGGTTGCTTGGGGAATGGGGTGCTGGGTAGCAGGATGTTGGGGTGTCAGTCTTAGGATGCCGTGGTGCTGATATCCTGGAGTGCCAGAACGCTGGAGTACTGCGGTGCCAAGGTATTGAGTACTGGGATGAAGGGATGTTGATGTGCTGAGGTCCCAAGGTGCTGAGATATGGGGGTGCTTGGAGAGTGCGATGCTGGGGTGCCAGGATGCTGGGATATTGGGGTGACAGGGCACTGAGGTACTGGGTACTGGGATGTTCGGTTGCTGGGGTGTCAGGGTGCTGAGGCACTGGGGTGCCAGGGCACTGGGATATGGGGGTACTAGAGTGATGGGGTGTGGGGTGCCAGGGCGCTGAGGTATTGAGGTACTGGAGTGCCAGTGTGCTGGGGTACTGAGGTGCCAAGGTATTGAGTACTGGGATGCCAGGATGTTGAGGTACTGGGGTCCCAAGGTGCTGGGATATGGGGGTGCTTGGGAATTGCGGTGCCAAGACTAGGTACTGGGATGCCAGGCCATGGGCTAGTGGGGTGCTTGGGAACTGGGATGTGGGGTGCCAGCAGAGTCAGGGATATCAGGGGTACCAGAGTAGGGTGTCTGCCATGGCGGGGTGTCCTCAGGTGTTCCACACAAGTGGAGGGTGCCCACACGGGTTCCCAGCAAAAGGGGAGTGCCCCCCCTCCCCATGGACTCACTCCTGTGCTCTGCTTCCGCCACAGGGGCCGGACCCCGGGCAGGATGGATCCACCGTATCCCGCTCACCCGGAACGGGCATGCCGCTATTCCCGGTGTTCCCGGTGCCCGGGGTCCCACCGGGAGCCGCCCGCGGGCCCCAGAATGCCGGGGCTGGTTCATTCGAGGTCGGGTGTTTCTAATCTGGTTTGGGTGGATTTATTTTTGGGAGCCCGTAGCCTGGCAATGGACACGTGACGCGCCGGGACACACGTCACCCACGGATCACTTGTCACCCCCCATCCCGGGAATGGGATCTGGTGGCCGCGCATCCCACCCGGGCACCCTAGGGATGGGGGCCAGGGCACTGCAGGGGGAAAGTTCGCAGCCCGCGCAGGATTTTGGAGAGATGGAAAAGATGGGCACCCCTTCCTGGAAGGGAATGGCCACGTCCTGGGAAAACTGAGGCACGGGGCGTGGCGGGGAGGGACACTGACCCCATCCCATTTGCTCCAGTGCTGAACTGGGAGCAAGGGAAAGGGCGCTGGGGTGGGGATAGGCAGAGCTCCCCCGGCACCCTCCGCACCCCCACCCCACCCTGTACCCCCCAGTGCGAATCTGCACCCCACCCCCCCCGTTCCCAGCTTCGAGCTCCACCCCCCGAGCTCCCCCTTTCCCTTCCCGAGGGGCTTCTCCCTCCCAGCGACCGCCCCGTGCCCTCCCCATCGCTTTGGGGAGGCAGATGGGGAAACTGAGGCACGAAGCGATACGCGAGGCAGCACCGGGGGGGTCCCACCCTCCGCTCTGCACTGGGGGGGCACAGCCAGCCTTCAGGCGACAGCGACCACCCCAATGTGGGGCTCGCAGCCGCGGGGCTCGAGGAGCCGCTCCCGGGGAGCGAGGCGAGGCGGGCGGCGCTAGGACCCAGCAGCCGGGCGGCGCGGAGCAGCCCTCGCCGCAGTGGCTCCAGCCCCGAGCATCCCCCGCCACCCCGGGGACACCCCCCAGCCCCGACCCCTCCCCCGGCCGGAACGGGGACCCTCGCCCTCAGGCCGGATCCATGCAGACCCCCAGGGTAGGTGCCGCGGCCGAGCAGCCCCGCCGGGGCGACGGCCTGGGAAGGTGGGGAGACACCGGGGAGGTGGGGGAGACTCCCCCGGGGGTGGGAGGGGGGGTCCCCAACCGGTGACATCGCTCCGGGGATCTGGGCGAGGGAAATGGGCAGTGAGAAGGGGAGGGGGCGACCCGCGGCTGCACGCCCATGCCGTCAGCATCCCTCCCTGGGGGTGCAGCGGGTGCAGGGGTGGGGACACCCCTGGGGGACA